CAGCCATTGTTTTATGGAGTCAGTGAATTAGAGAAATAAGTTGCAGGAATCATAAAGACCGTTAGCTGATCTTCTGCGGTATATTCAGAGGATGGTATATTAACCTATGTGAGTTGAATGTTTGAATGCTTTTCTCCTATTATAAAGTAATATTAAAGAGAAATTTAAAGTAAGCTGTAAATATGCATTCAAGACATTAAAAGAAATTTGCCTGTGAATTAATGAATGTGGAAAGTGCCCTGTGGTGAAACAGTGCTGGATTTGCTTTGAAGTCAAAATACAGATTTCTAGTTGGTGATTTTCAAGATGATAAGAACATTCGTCTGATAGCAGCAGCAATTATTTTTCTGTAAAGGCTGCTGCAAGTTGCAATATCGCTATACTCTGTTCCTAGTTTTATCACTGTCTTCGGGACAGACTCCCCTCAGACTGAGTCCCATGTTTATGCAAGACACTTCAGTAATCCCCACAGGTACTATGTCTATCCAAAATCGGCCACAAACATAGCCTTAAATTAGTAGTGCAGATCTGAAGTATATCTGCAGAGGAAAAATTTTTTAAAAATAAATAAATTTTAAAAAGATATTTCGTGCTGGTGGAAGTTCATGCTGCTAATTCTCATGCTTTTACAGAGGTGGATGAGAAGAGAAAAAGCATCAGGGAATGAGGGAATGAATTGAGATGAGGTTTCAACCTAGATGGGTGGTTATTACCCTTAATTTCCTGGCCTTTTACAGACTTGTCAGTAGTATTTTGTGAGGTTGGCTGCTTTTAAATATGTATCAGAGCTGACACAAGAGCTGACACATCTCAATAGTGTATTATTTACTCAGGAGTGTATGCCATAAAGTGTAATAGAAATATACCATTACATATACATTAAACTACAGTTTGTTTTGATGTTCTCTTGTTCTCTTGTAAATAATACTTATTAGTTGAACGAGGAATGAGATTGAGTTGTGCTTAGACAGCTTCACATGATTTCATCAGCATCTTGCGCCTGTGTGCATAGTTCTCGAGTTTTTAACAAAGATTTAGCCCTCCACAATACAGGTAATGTTGCAGTACTACTAATTGGGCAACAAGAAACAGAAATTAGCCCAGAGATATCCAGAGGTGGTCTTTAGAATGCTTTTGTGTGATTGTTTTTCTGCGCTGCTTGGTGATGGGGCCGAATTGTCCTTTAGAAGAAAAGAACTATTGCTCTTGAGCTGAAAACATCAGTACTGGCAAGTGGCACTCAGAGGATGCCAAACTGAAGTCATGTCAAAAGCCAAATGTGTCTGTTTAACGTCCTAAATACACAGGAGATAACTATTAGAGTCTAGTTCAGAAAACTATGCACCACCATCACAGTTAATGGCCTCCTAATCAGGAGGTGCTACAGGCTGATTACACAGCAGGGCACATCTGGAAACTCAATGGGTAAATGTTTAAAGGTATTAAAGGTTCATAAGGATACACAGGGGCACCAAATGATGTTTTCAGAAGTGATTGCAGTAAAATCAATGGGGATTAGGCACTGCCTCCCTGGGAAAACTCTACAAGGTGCCTGTGTTTCTCAGTAGGTCCCCCTGTGCCTTTTGAAAACCTGGTTGTCAGCTGAAGTCTCCTCTCAGGGAATGCTTCGTGGCTGTACATAGCAGGGGTGGTGAAGAACAATTAAGATGCAATGCTGCAATGTTTGGGCCCTCTCTGTGTGACTCTGTTTGTGTGCCAGGTGCCATAGCTAACACAGGGACATGATATCAGAAAGGAAGGATGTAACACGTAGACCTCCCAAAAGCTACCAAAACAAAGAACACAAGAATCAGGACACAGATTCCCATTCCCTAGAGCAGACAAAGAAGAAAGGATGACATTTTTAGTACCTTGTTCCTTAGATCACAATAGCAAAAGTACAGCCTGGCTCCAGGGCTGAATAAAGAAGGAGAACAAACTAAATCCTGCCACTAGTTTTAAAGGAGAGAGGCTTGCAGTGTACTCCAGGAGGATTATTAGTATTACTGGTAGCTGGGGAAGTTTGCATAAATTCGTAGAAATGTTTCAACAAGATTCTGAGTGAAGAGGTAAACTTTCCATAAAGGTAATCAAGAATAGGAAGAAATAAGAGATCATTCTCTCACCAAAAATCGTTCTCTGCAAAATCTTCTTGCAATTATGACCTTGCAGAATAATCTATCAATATTGTGTCTTCCAGTATGCGCTAATGAGTGGTATTTTGGAGCTAGGACATGACCTTGAAGGATGAGGCTTACAAAGCCACCACCAACTTTATCAGGAATGGTAGTTTAAATGCAAAGCTGGGGAACATTCAGAGCTGGGGAACATTCAGATGCATAGTACCAATCAGGCAGCACTTCAAGAATTCATCAAGGAACACAGAGGCATGTGAAACTGCAAAGGAGAATACTTGTGTGCAAGTAAATGCCCAGGTGCAAACAGAGGAGCTGAATTCAGTGAAATGGAAGACCGATAGGTCCTGCAGAGCAAAGCTTCATGGTAACATGTGGGGTCATAGGCTGAGACTGGCAAATGCACCATTGTGTCAAAGCTATAGAAAAACTGGAGCACAAGAAAGAAGGCAGCACTGGCATGTGCATGATATTAGGCTGTACGAAGTGGCAAAAATTAATGGTTTGCAAGGTCCAGGACAGCACCAGATGTACCAACAGCACAGCAACGCAGCAAGCAAGAAACTGAATGTCAAAGTGACACAAAATGTCCAGGACTATGAAGATTTCTTCGGATTTATTCAAGGGAAGAAGGCAACACTGCCATCAAGCAATGCGAAATGAAAATCACGTGGTGTCCTAATCACTAGCACAATATGCTAGCCCAAGAGTAATAAGCAGCTAGAAAGGACTTGGGCTCACTCTTCCAGAACTGGAGAGGACTCAGAAGCCAATACTTTCAGTGCAGGCTGGTGAGTGACTGGAGGTGATGGAGCTATGCTGCTCTCGAGCCTGGAGTTGGTCTCTGTAGAGCACAACGCTGCTCTATAGAGATGGGCTGGCCTAGCCTGGTTGCTTGCAGCATGCAGTCATGGTGGGAGAGATGCCAAACTCTGCTTTCACCGAGGTGTGTGCAGAGAGGAAGGAATAATAGCGTGTGTGTGACAGTGTTTTGATTTTCTCTGTTTATATGGTTGCACCCTGCAGTTGTTTGCCCAGCCTTGTTTTTTTAAATTTTTTTTTCTTGTGAGGTAAAAACTAAGTGTTCTCTTTTACTGGAAGAGGGTGGAGACTTGTCTGTTTTCCATTTTCTTGGAGGTAGTTTCACCAGTGCAGAGAAGATGTGCATTGGTGGCACATCGTGAGGAAGCTTGAACCACTGATTTTTCACTTACCTCCTGGGTAAGGCATTTGCTATGTCTGTCTGCCTAGCATCTTCCACAGCCCCTACCTGTAATAACCAGTTCAAAATACCAAATGAGGGATCATTCTCCAGCTATCCCTACACTTTTTTATTTTTTTTTCCTGTAAAATGATATTATGTCAGTAACATGACAGGCAGGATTAATAGAGCTTTAGTCACAGAACTGGAACGAACGCTTACTTTTGCACATCGGACTAAGAACTGCCTGGAACCTTCTTTGTTTGAGCAAGCAGCCAGAAAGTGAGGAGAAATAATGAGAAAAAGGAGATGGACTTGTCACTACAACTTTGCAACTAAGAGTAGTGGGTGATGAGAGAGGAGACAGCTTGCTTCTTGTCGCCAAAAGCTATGGAATCACAAAGCACTGTCTTCATATCTTGCTGCAGAGTTTCATAATGATGATGTGTTAATATATAGCAAAGCAATATAGATTAGCAACACATTATTGAGACATGACACTGTAATAATTATGTGGACTTCTTTGGAAAGAGGTGACATTGAAGTCTGTTAATTAAATAGCAATGTGTGCCTTGGTTTAATTCAGTGTAATTTTTAAGTGCAAAAAAAAAAAAAAAAAAGGCCCCTATATCTGTTACCAAAAATACATCAATATTTGCAGTTTATTATGAGGTACTTGGAGACAGGAAAATTACGTTGAAGGTCTGTGAACTACCCAGAATCTTTGCTGAACGTCCAAATCTGCAATTTTCACATACAGTCCAGATCTTGTTGTATGCAGCATTTGGCTGGAAATACTAACACTTTTTACTGAAGTAAACCATCACAAGCCCCATTTGCCCAGCTCTGCCTTGTCTTTGCATTAAAGATGTGTTGCCACTGCCCTTGCCATTGCTCCAGGAGAGGTTTACACTCAGGATTCATTTTTAGCATAGATGAATTGGGACTTTGTTGCGACAACTCACAAGAGTTTGCCCTACATACTTTTGCTCAGCATTAAGCTTTGAAAAACAGAAGGATTACATTTAGAAATGTCTTTCAACAGCTATCTGGAAAATATATTTGCTCAGCTCTTCATGCTAGAGAAAGTAAAGTAAAAGTGGAGTGGACTTCTACTGTATCCATTCAGAAGTACTCCTGTTCTGGGTCGTCGTGTCACTTACCTCTTTTTCTTAAGGAGAATAATATTTCTGATGATAAAATGGTATACTGAGAAGAGATCAAATTTTGGAAACTGAAGAGTGTGTTCTTTTCCATAGGTCCATAAGTTGTTAATGAAAAAAATAAGAATTAATAAACTAGCTACAGAGATTACTTTATCAGACAAGGTACCATTGCAGAGTTATACATGCTGGGCTCATTTTATAAAGCAGTCAGTTGGGTTTGCTTTCTAAATGTTTCAAGATGCATGCAAGGTATAGGGTACAGATGAATTTCTCTGATGCGTACATAGAAATGTTGTTAATAAACTAATATCCCTTGTGTCAAAATGTATTATTGGAATGGTGACAGCTGAAAGATGTCTTTTCTATGCAGTATCATGAAGATAAAAAGTTTGTGATTTGACACAGGGTGTGATTTCTTCCCCTGTGACTTCTCCCCACTCCATTTCACGAAGAAGTGGGGCTCCTTAATGCATGTGTGTTCTCGTTTGTGTTTTTCAGGATTCCTCTTCAGCTGGAACAGCCACGGTGGCTGGTCCCAGGACAAGTGCAATAATTGGAGATCAAGGAACACCACCGAAGGTCCAGCTCCCCCTCAATATGTAAGCAGCCATCTCATCTTAGTCCCTGGTTACTGTTTGTTTCAGATCTTGTGTGCATGTATGCTTGCCCTTTGAATCTGAAAGCCTGGGTCTCAGACGAACAGCATTTGGAGCACTCAGTTACTGCAATTTCATACATTTCCCAGCCTCTGCAGAAGTTGGAAAATGAACAGTGAAAGGCGAGAGCCCCTCCTTTTCTATCTAAGCCTTTGGTTTTTTTTGTTTTTTTTTTTTTTTTTGCTCCTAGTATATTTATTATAGCTGTATGAATCACTGTGAAGCAAATGGAATGTCTCTGAGATAGAATGACAACTCTTATTCCTTCGATTAAAGATCTTATAGAGGTACAGCCCCATACAATCACACACCTGATGCATTCATTATTATCCAGAAAAAATGACCTAGTTACATTTTTTTGTCACCATAACCAAAGATATCAAATGAACTTTTTAAATGCAAGAGAATTGTGATCATATGAGCTTTGGAAGAACAAATGTTTGACTGGATACAGAAAAAAAAATTATAGATTTCTTTATAACAAATTTCTTATAGCCCAGTTGATTTATTTGGTACCTGCCTAGATAAACTACCAAACCCTTTCCTCTGGTCACGTATGTGTTGCGAAAGCGGTAGAAACATACTAATGCACAAACATGCATGCAAATAATTTAGGGTTTTGTGATATAGGGAGAATAATGTCTAAGTGCACAAATAAAACCCTAAAATAGGATAGCAAATCTATTTTAAGGAAAATAGGGAATTTGGAACAGAACAAAAACAAAAATGTTCTTAAGTATGGTCTTTTTAGATTATTCCTCTTCTGTGTCTTCTTATACTATTCTTAAGTAAGTGAGGTCTTCCTACTATAGGGTACTGCACAGCACGCTTGATCCCACAGAGAGGTCCCATCACCCTGCAGTGATCCAGTGATGTCTGTGTGACATACAGAGGGACAATAATTTGCATTAAATGTTGCTCAGATTGGGAAAACCTAATAGGAGTGTTTCCAAAATTTAGTTGCTAAACCAGGATATCTTCCAGCTCCAGGAAAATAGAACATGCTTCTGACTCCATCTCTCAGCAAGCCATGCCCTTCCCTTTCCCATTCTTCTCCCATAGTGTCCCTCGAGAAGCAGCCTCATAATCCGGTCTGTCATTTTATATTTACAAGCCAAGTTCCAGTCAAAAAGGAAGTGTTATCTCAAATTTGTAAAAGAACCAGAGAGGAACAGCCTTAAATAGAGCCCTGGGAATTCTGTGTTATAATTAGAGTCACAGACAGCTCCCTTAGGCCAAGAACATGAGCTACCTTCTAAGTCAGAAATTCTTTTTTAGGGAGCTTTTTATAAAGATATTGGCTTCATTGAGGTCTTACTGCTCAACCCTTAGTCTGAACGTTTCACATAGCCCAGAATAACTTGTTACTCCATTTTGTGAGATTGCAGTTGTTGTTGTTTTACCACTTTAATCTCAGCTGCAGAAAGTCTGTGAGTGAAGTTTTACGTCTTAAATCTAGAGAACGGTGAAACGCAGCCAAGTCCAAAGGCTTTGGCTTAAAGTGAAGCCAGCCTCAGCAAGCTGAGCTGCTAGCCATGATTCTCTGCCAAAGGCAGGGCCCAGAAACAATTGCTGGTGAGTGAAACTATCTGTAGTGAAATTGCTTTCAGATGTGTCTGACAACAGGTGTGTGACCCATCTCTCCCCGTGGTCCCCTACCCACCAAGCCATTTAGCGTCCTGACGGGGTCATGTCCAGTGAACATGATGAAACCCACACAGAATCAATGTGCTTGTTGTCCCAATCTGTTCTCTCTAATGGACAGGGTTTTCACTGCTCACATAAGTGAGATCCAGAGTAAGCATTTCCATTTTCTAAGTGCTGAGATACTTCTGGTGGTATTTCTGCCTGAGAGAATAAAACAGAAACGAAGAGAAGATTTTTGCCTTAGTAAATCAGGTCTTACAGGCTTAACGAGAGCAAATTCCTCAGCACTGCAGTTGTGTGACAGTAGCATAGACTTGGATGAAGCATAGGATAGGACATTCCCATGCAACAGCATTCTTTGGGGTCAGGTTATCCAGTCTTCATTCAGCTCTGAGGGCTGGTTGCAGAGTTGTCCAAGTAGCTCTGGAATGAATCAGACCGGGTCTAGCAGAACCATCACTGAGCCAGAATTAGTAAATTTTCCTAAGCCCTTGTAAACTCCATGTTGATCCCACAGGCATCCTTGAAGTGTGTTCAGCGAGCATGCAGCAAGATGTCCAGCCTAGGGTGAGATGTCAGGATTGTTAGCTTAGGACATGGAAGCAGCTACAGTCCCCATATGTGATGGAGAACCAGCAGCAGTGGCTGCTCGCCTCAAGTTGTGCAGTAGTCAAGCATTGGAACAGGCTGCCCAGGGAAGTGGTAGAGTCACCGACTCTGGCAGTATTCAAGGAACGTGTAGATGAGGCGCTTAGGGACATGGTTTAGCAGGCATTGTGGTGAAGGGCTTATGGCTGGACGTGATGATCTTGAAAGTCTTTTCTAGCTGTAATGATTCCATGATTCTAACATAGCCATGTTGGTGTGGCATTGTCTTGCATGTTATAGGTGATCAAACCTAGGCTGGGCCCGTGTCTGGGTTTGGAGAAGCCTCTGTCTCCTTGCTGACTACAGTGGAAACCCCCGGGACCAGCGTCCTGCCTTCCCCACATAGGCCGTGTGATCACATAGGCAGTGTGATCACCAGTCCGTTCAGAAAGCACTGAGCACGTCTGTTGTCCCAGAGTTGTGCCATGCAGTTATCACACAGAATTATGAGTTTTGCAGGGGATCTTGGTACTCTCTCCTGAGTATGTTTAGGCTCATTTTGATTGCTGATTAATTCTGACTTCCTGAAATTTGAGCTGGGGGAATTTTCACAGAGGAAAAGAAAGAAACGAATAGGAGAGCTGGAGACAGCTATGACAGAAAGTAACCTATAGTCCTCTGATGTTAGTTAGGCTGGTTTTCCTTACACCTCCTTTCAGCAAGTCAATCTGTAAATTACATCATTACATATAGACTTTTGGGAAAACAAAACAAAACAAAAACCCCAAACCTTTATCTCTCTCAAGTGAGCGCAGTCCCGGCACTTCCCATTGTGTCCTAGCAGAGTAGTGTGCAGAGGATTTACCACTGAAGCTTGGAACCTTGTTTCAAGTCAGGGAGATGCATTTTGATGTTCTGCAGTTCATACGTAGCCTCATATTTTCCATCACGTGACCCACGGCAGACCTGATCAAGGTCACCTGATTATACAGACTAACGAAGGATGTGCAGGATGGTTTCTCCCATCTGTTGACTAATGAAATATAGTTTCTGATTAGGTCTTCCTACCCTATGCACATGGTAAATAGAGCCAAGCACATCAACTTAAGGATGCTCCAAGGAGCTCTTACCAAATATTGCATATTCTTCTCATTACTGCTGTTTATTTACTGCCTTCAGAATAAAAATAAAGAAATCTACTGGTATCATAAAGAAGTAGAATCAGTAAAACTAACAGGATTTATTTCTCAATTATATTTCCTAGAGAGCAGAAATAAAAAGCCATGTATCACTTTTATTGGCTGAAGTCCACAATCACAATGATTATAGTTAACATTATTTCTCTGATTCACTCTTATGGTGGGCAGCAAGTTTCTTCTTACCCAGCCCCTACCCTAAAAGCATTTGTAGTGCACTTGGTAGTGTCAATGCAATCTTTGTAAGTGTTTTCCCATTCATCCTAATCTCTCTACATTGTCTCCAGGAAACAAAGAAAATGGGTAAAAAAAAAAAAAAATAAGCCCTCAAGGAGGCATAACCTTGATCAAGAATTACCAGAAATCCCTTTTGTATTTGTAGAAAGGCGTCAGCACCAAAAATTGATATTTACAAAGAAAGTGTTATTTACTGTGTGCATTCATGCTATCCTATCCAGAATTTCCATAGTTCCCCAAAGTACAAGCAATCATTCTTAATTTTCAACAAGGATCTCTCCAAACAGAGAGATTACCTTTAGGGACTTTAAGTTGTAGTCATTTCATACCATTAGACACCTCCCTGAAGTAATGACAGAAGAACAAAAGAGAGATAAAAAGAAAGATTCTAAACAAAGAGAATAAATAAAACTATAATTAAATATAAAAAGTTTTGCATAGTGGGTCCTAGATCAAATATTTATGAATATACTTGCATACTTGCAAACTATCTAAGGCCAAATTATATTACTTACTTAAGAAAAAAAAAACCCCAAAAAACAAACAAAAAAATTTGTAGAATTTGGCCCTCTATCCTTTCTTTTTGTTGCTTTACTCACACCATGTAAGAATTACTGCCCTGGATCAGAACAGTTCAGTGTGTTGTTTCTAGCACCAGCCAATATAAAAGCAAAGAGAAAGCTGCAATAAAAGCCGTCTTAAATATTTTAAAATAGCCTATCCAGAAGGAAAGTTTCTTCTCACGATCCATTTTAGAGGTGACTCACACCCTGAACTATTGGATATAAACTTCATCCAGATGTTAGACTTTGGAAATCCCTGCTATGATAATCCTGAATATCCTTGCTACCAGTGTGAAAGCCCAGTCCTTCCTGTTAAATTCTTAACTTCAGTGCTGTTTTGTAGCAGTGTCTTCCTCTGACTGTGCATTAGGTGCAGAAGTTTGTCCTCCTCCTAATATCTAAATTACCCCTTTCCTTTAATCTCATTAGCAGCACGCTTATCATCTTAGCATTTGATTGATCTCTTCTATGCCATTTCTCCTTCTGTGTACTGTAATTATGTTCCTTCTTAATCACCATCTCTGAGCAGTGTGTGCACCATGGCACTTTCTGCTCCACGGGGCTGTGATTGACCCGGGACAGTCCTGGTTTGACGCCATCTGTGTGTGTGACCTCTCCTTGCAGCTACCTAGCTCTGTACGCCTACAAGCCTCAGAAGAACGATGAGCTGGAGCTCCGCAAAGGGGAGATGTACCGGGTCATTGAGAAGTGTCAGGATGGCTGGTTCAAAGGCACCTCTCTGAGAAGTGGCATGTCCGGAGTCTTCCCAGGCAACTATGTGACCCCCGTTTCCAGGTGAGAACCACTGGCCAAAAGTGGATACTCCTGGGTAGAGGGTGGGAGGAAATCTGTGTCTTCAGGATAGTGAAAAAAAAAGGTAAATCTGTTTTTAAGCGTTTCCCCTCCAGAAGTTTTTCAATGACAGTGTCATCCATTGTAGGCTTCACTGACGCAGCTTTTTGGTTGCAGCTTCAAAATTATTCATATTTTCAGAAGACTTTGTTAATTGCTTTAATGTCGGCACTTACAAATGGTCAGATGGACCCAGCCTGAATTATTTTAAAGAGTCTATTGGTTAATGATTTCATATTATGGAAACAGTGGTCATGAAATGGGGATGAGCAAAGTAAGGAATACTTGTGACTTGCTTTGTGGTAGTCTTGATTTAGATTTTGTTTTCCTGAGATCAAAGATCTTGGATTAGTTGGATCAGGACTAATGTTTAAACCATTACAATTGATTCAGCAAATTATTTCCTGTTAACTGTCTCTGTCTCAATTGCACAAGATGAGAAAAGGAAAGAATAGCATGTTTGGGAAGGAATGCCATTTGTTAGAGTTCAGTATTGGAGAATCTCAAATCCAAGAGTATTTGTAATCTGGAGTCTACTCTGCAAAATACTCTACTAGCTGAGGAGAAATTTCACCAGAGTGTCCCAGACTGCTTTGTCTCAAGTGCTCCTTGAATGTTGCCAAGCGTATGTCCATTTCTCCTTTAAAGCAGCTTTGGGTTTGCAAATTGCACTCACTGTTCCTCCTCGCAGGCTCTGGGTCTCTCCTTCCACATGCACACAGTTCCCACCATTTTTCACTGCTCTCCAAGGAAGTGCACCTCACAACTCAGAAACTGATGAAATTGAAAAGTGATTTCAGGTTCACTCCATCTTCAGTTTATATGAAGTTTGTAATACATGGACTGAGCAAGACTAAAAATTAAGAGCAGATTAGATGCTGATAACAGCCTGCTGACAGTCCTAATATTGCATCGATTCATAGAGTCTTAACTGTTCATCAACCTGAATATATTTACCTGATTTTTGTAGAACCCGTTGACTGCCTTCAGTCCTTGGCTCTTCAGGTTTAATTGGTGGAGGGGTTTGTGTTAAAGTGTTGGTGACCCGAATCAGCAAGACCTTATTAATTGCAACATGTCACAGCTAGAACAAGGCACAGGGAAGTGCTAAAGGGCAAAAGTTCCACCCACAAAACCCAAGCGCAGCTTTATGATTATGTTTATGATGCTGTGAACTAATTAAGTTGCTGCATAAATCATCCTCAGTGAGAACAGCGAGAAAAAAATCTGATAGGAACCAAATAATTTATTTACTGCTCTTACAACTTACTTTGTTCCTCTTTATTTTGATAGCAAAACAGAGGATTAGATTCATACATGTTGTTCTGCTGCTTTGATTAAATGCAGGAAAAAGAAGCTGAACTAGCAAGAAAAGAACTGGACTAGATTTATAAGCCACCAGGGCATGTATGTGTGAACAGATGGAACAATGGAACAAGATTTCTGTGGCAGGACTCTTTAGAAGGAGAGACAGGCACAGGAGAGCAGAGAAAAATTGCCACATCCTGCATCTATCTAGCTATATAGGAGTCCCAGATGAAGTTTCTCTACCTGTCAGTGAGCACATTTGCTCAAGCACACCTCTCATAGAATCACAGAATCATAGAATGCTTAAGGTTGGAAGGGACCTCTAGAGGTCCTCTGTTTTTTTTCAGTGGCCACCACTGAAAAGAGGTCAGCACCATGCTCCTCACTGCCTGCCATCAGGTACTTATAGACACAGATCAGGTCTCCTCTCAGCCTTCTCTTCTCCAGGCTGAACAGGCCCAGCTCTCAGTGAATTATAATTAGGTGTGCTTTTCTGGCAAATCCAAGGCAACTCCAGCTTCAAAAAGTTTGAAGTAAATAAAAAGAAGTTGAATGCATTTAACAAAATATAAACCAGACAAACGATGCATGACGAGAAGAGTCAAAAATTTGTTTACACTGCTGGGTTATTTTTCCTCTTTCTGTTATTTTTTTTTCCCAAAGTGAGGGCTAAGTTCTGCACTTCTGGATCATATCTTCTGGCCTGTCTTTTGGCCTCTGTCAGAATTTGTACCTGCACATGCACTGTTTTCCTCAGAAGTAGTTCTTGTCCTCTGAACCAGACCAGATTATTCAGCATACTCCTTTTCCTTTCTCTGCTCCCACACAAGTTTGGGCCCTCCCTTCCCACGACCTATATGCCGACTGTGCATATGCGCACTGTGCCCTCTGTAATCACCTCCTCTCTTGTCCACCTCCTGCCTTATTCTCATTTCCATTTCCTCTGCATTTTATTCTGCATCATATCCTCTCTCTGTCTGCTTCTGGAAGGGGACATTAGCACATGGGGTGGCCAAGAGGAGCAGAAGAGCACTAAGCGGTAGCCCTCATTTAGATTTTGATATTCCCTCTGTTTCATAACATCTCCTGCTGGGAAGGATTAAAGCCTCTGGGAATCTGAGTGAGAAAATGCTGCTGAACAGCAGCCAAGCCTATGCATTACTGCCCTGCTTCCCTGGTCATAGAGTTTTTACTTAGTGGTAAGAAGAATGAGACCTGCTCGTCTGGGGAATAACTCCATGCTGGACTTGTTGCATAGGAGAAACAGTCTCCTTCCTTCCCTCTGTCACACAGATGAGGGAGAAACTCTGTGAGCAGTGAAGGAGGGGTTGCTGTGGGAATTTCCTTTCCTGGAAGGTCCACTGAGTTCCCTTCCCTTTTGCATTTCCTTAGCAAGTCTAACCTAGAGCTGGTTAAAGAACTAGAGTAAGTACTCAGACAAGGCCTGACAAATTAACTGCTTTGGGGTCTCCTGCAGCAGACACACAGAGGTTTGGTGCTGCCCATCTTTTTTTTCCTACTGTTGGGTTGTATGAAGTTTTGGTCTTAAGGAAAGGTCTTTGAGTCTAATTTGTTTGTTACTCCGTCATTGCTTGTAAAATAGCCTTTGGCACACCAAATGACACTTGGGAGATGTTCCTCTGAATTCTGATTTGGATTTTACTAGAAATTATTCAGAAAGAAGCGTAATTGAAGAAAGAAAGTGGTTGAAGAGATCATTATTCCATTTTTACCTTGCACTTCTTCCCTTAAGATGAAAGGGTGCCGATGTCCTCGCGTGTGTTTGGTTACATAGCGGTTATAACTGTGTTTGTAACCCGTAGCTCAGTTTATTTTAACACCCAAGCCCATACTATCCTGAGGCCCTCGGTCACTATGGCAGGCGCGTAGGGGGATCTCCCCGTGGTGCTCACGCTCTGCTCCATCCCGCAGAGTGCCAGCGGGGGCTGGGCAGCCCCGCAACGGCGGCGCCGGGGGAGCTGCGAAAGGGGCCCCGGGAGCCGTCCACGCTGGAGGGCCGAGTCACACCAGCGCCGCCACGGCCGCCAGGCCCGCGGTCCCTCTCCCCGCGCCCCAGGCGCATCCGCAGCTCCAGGCAGCCTCTCCTCAGCTGGGCAACTGCTTGAGGTACTCGGCGCCCGCCAGCCAGCCGCGCAGCGCCATGCAGATGGGTACGTACGAGCGCCGCGGGCGCCGCGTGGCCGTGGGGTTGACGTTGCGTCCCTGCAGCGCCAGCCTCTGGGGTCCGCCAGCCCCCGCGGCTTTCGCTGCTCTCCCGCTTTAGTCGATGCGGAAAAGAATATGCTTTATTTGCTTGTAATATTTATGGGCTCCTATTGATCTCTGGGAACCACGTTGTGTTTATCAGATTGTTCTGTTGCTACAGCTGAAATAGATTATGGTGTTTACAAATATTTATACAAGTTATCTGAGCGAAAGCAAGCACCCTGCATACTGAGGAGATTAACAGTTCTGAGTCTGTCTGGCTTGCCAATGGAGAAAAAGCCCTGCTCTTATCACAGGGCAAATAATATGCGACTTAAAATTAAGAAGCATTTCACTAGGCTTCAGGGATGAAAGGTATTTATTAGGCAGAAGCGGGACCCAGTGTTAGCGATAAAGCAAGAGATCTGAAAAATGCCGCCACCTTTTTGAAATGAGAGTAAGAGCCTTGCGCACCAGGGGGCCTCTGTTCTGCTTAGGCTTCCTTTTGATGTAGAGCACAATTTTCTAGAGCACAATTTATGCCCCTTTCCCGGATGTTAAACAGCTCTCACGTTGAATAAAGTAAAAGTAAATCCTGTGGTGGAACTTTATAGCAAAATTTAAAACAGTTTGTTTCTGACACTTTATGGGAGCGCGAGCCATTGTGTTTACAGAGAGAGATCACTGAGGATCATGACTGCTGAAAACTGAGGTCGTAGGAACAAAGCAGAGTAGATGAAAAGGAGAAAGACACCACCGTGCAAAGTCACAGATTCCTACCTTTGGAAGTCAGAAGGGACCATTAGGACTATTTAATCTCTGCTCCTTCGCAGTCCAAGTCAAAGGGAAAAAATGTAGTCAAATACACGTGAATCTGAACCTTGATACGTGCTGACTCCAGGTCTCTACCTGGTATCCATTCAAGCTGCAGAATAGTCTGGTTATGCTCTTTTTGCGTGGTGTAGCGGGCTCCTCTCCCCCTCAGGCTTACACGTGTGCAAAAGCCCTTCTGCTCACCAGTAGCCAGGCAGAAACATCTGTTCTAAGAACAAGCGCACGAGGTGCAGTGGAGAGCCAAGGCGAGAGCAGTGCTGGGTCTGCTCCATGCTCGATGCCTGGTTCCAGAGCCTCAGGACAGCCCGTGCACCCACATCTGGCAGCCCGGTCCACCCTTGGCTTGCGGGACATAGTTAGGCAGCTCTTGGTGCCTCTTGTCCCCTCACCACTGGAAGAATGTATTTCCCTGAAGCAGAGAGAAAGGGTTATTTTCCCCCGTGCACCTGGATTACCACACACCTTCCCTCCATGGTGCTGCTGGGTTGTGGCTCCAGCTGCTTCCTAGATTTAAGACTGCTCCTTCAGGGCACTCTGATGTTTTAATCTGTCAAGGAGTCAGCAGGCTGGGTAAACCACAGAGCTGCTCTAAAATCTCAGAGCGCTCAGAAGTAGGGGAGTTCCCAAGCTGTACCAGAAGTGTTCATGAGTTTTTTTTTTTTTAATTCAATAAAAGGGTTAAATAAAGGAAACCTTTAAGGATTACCAGTATTCCTCTCTATAAAGGATGTCCTGACTGGTATCCTGTGAGTAGCAGCCCTTCAAAATAGGTCTTTCTAGTCCTGTGGGCAATGCAGACCCACTTCTTGAAAAGCTTTATAAGAGAAGCAAGCTGACACAATATTCAAATCACGTTTCTGTTGGCTTGCAATATACATGAGTAACAAATCAATTTTGCACAAGGCCACTAATGTAGGAGTACACCCAAAATGAAATACGAGTGGTGTAGAACAAAAATAGCCTTCAGTGAGCATTGCTAATTAATAGCATGTTTGATGCAGCACAGTCCAGATCCAGAGATACCAGAGCAAAGGCATACATTGCAACAGTAAGCAGATGAAATTACAGAATAAAACTGGAGAGCCCTGCTCACGATTGATTTTTTTCAGTTCATTTTTTCTGCTGTTTCTCATACTTTCCATTTCTTTCATGTCTGGAAACATGAAAGAAGTAATGTACTTACCTAATATGATCAGTCTTTTGCATCCAGATACAAACAGTGGAATTCCATTCTAGTGATTTTATTCTAGGTTTAGCAAAGCCACTCCTTCTTACAACCATCTACAACCAGCAGTTTAAAACCTTGACCCTGTAAGCTTAACTAGCCCAGAAGATTAGATTTCAGGCAACCAGGGCGGTTCATTACACAGGTTGAAAACAGTAAAAATCAGGAGGAGGAAATCACAGCCAGATAACCAGTGGTGCCCTATCTGGAAATGAATTACACTTTCCAATGTATGTCCCTGGTGATCCGAAGGCGAGGATGGAAATGGTAAATATTAATAATGACTGCCTTGAAGGGTGCATAGTAACATCTTTTAGGCTCATCAACATCCTACAGCCTAAAATCACCGCAGGTTCAAGACTAGTTTCTGGACATGATAGCTTGGTTGATTTGCTATGAGCAACTTCAATAAAAATAGAAGTTTTAGAATCAGGGAGTAACTGAAGACGATCATGTAAACCATGGAGATGCTTATCTGACCATCACTGGCCCATCTGGCTGAGTATCGCTTGCCATAATATGTCTTAAGGCCAGGAGATGAAATTCCCTCCCGACTCCTAAAGTGCTCAGCTGGTATATTGAACATGGTAAATGGCACTCCTTATCTTTTTCATCTCTAGTAATGGGTGCTATTGTTAGCTGTAGAAATAGATAATTGTGATTTGAGTTGTTCTAGCATTGTTTTGTTACATCTTGAGCAATTACTTTTGGTGCTGCTTAAAAAAAACAGTAGATAGAGCAGGTAGAGTAGTTTTTTTTGTTGTTGTTGGTTGGTTTGTTTGTTGTTTGTTTTTTTGTTTGTTTTTGAAATGTTTCTTGCCCTAAAAAAAGCTAATTTTTTGAAGTCAAAACTTTCTGGCCAGGAATGGATGTAGTTCAATCAGACTTCATCCAGGAAGCTGTTGTGGCTCAGGTTGCAATGAGAAGGAGAAGGAAAGTCAAAGAGAAAATGCAGTTACACAGAGCCATTCCCTGTGGAGAACAGACAGATCTAGCGTTTTCCCTTTCCCAGGTGAATGCCCCAACCAGCAGAATAGGGGTATTGTGGAATGGGTAAGTAGGCTGCGCTCAGAAGAATCTTCAAAGGTTCCAATTCTGCACTAATGCAGAACTAAACCAGATTACGAAACCTTGAAATCATTTGTGAAATGGGAATTTTCCAGCCAGCCCTTCTATTGAATTTTGTAAGCGAGTGAATGTAGACTCAGCTTCTTGGTCTATACATACTAACTTGGAGGTCAAAGAAAACAACACTGTAGAAACAGACCTTTTGACAAAAGGCACACAGGAGGCCCCTGAATCCCTGGAGAACAGACCTCAACAGTACATTTTGGTTGCCATTAAACAGATGAGTGCTAATTCCTGGTGTCTAGTGGTTAAAAGCAGGTTTTCCTCATCTGGGGAAGGCAGGCTAAAACGGTCAGTGTAGCCATTTAGGGACCTTACCGGCAGAGACAAGGCTGATCTCAGAAATACTCTAGTGAATTTATGCTTAATTTGTCTTGCACAACACAGTGATTTGCTGTTGTTCATTTTTGTTAAGACAAAAACAAGGGAGCTTTCTTTGTAATTGCATTCTGCAAGGTCGCTTTGGACCATGTAAGCTAATCCTTTGGGTTCACTGTTGCATTGCCCCAAAACGTTAGTAGGAAGTCAACAGCAATGTTGTCAGGGCGCCTCAGAGGTCCTGAAAAAACATCTCGGTTGGAATAACATCTCAGTTGGAATAAAGTAAGAAAGCGCTTTAAAGCATGATACGCTTTTTATCTGTTTCCAAGCATGGCTAGCAAGGCGCCTCCACAGCTGCAGAGCGGGGGAGGACAGACCATTTTAGCCGTCTGTGCTTTTGTAACCTGAAGCAGGATTTCTAGGATTTAGTCGAATACGGCTGCAGGCTGGGATATTCCTGGTTAGGACGAGCCATGGCTCTCCTTGGGGCTCCAGCAGACATGTGGCAGAGATTACAAGCGCACAGCCCTCTCCTTGCCCACTGCCCGCCCCCGGCCAGCTCTGGACCTTTGCAAAGCACATTGCGCCCATTGAATTTTGGGCTAGCTATGGTAGGGTTTTTCGTCACAGACCTACATTCCTGGCACAAAGCAGCACCGGGGTTTAACGTCTGCTCTCTTGTGCTTTATGTCCCCGCGCAGCTCACCCCATGGCGCAGGGCCCTGAGCGGCCCACGGCCACCGTCTCGCCGCTGCGCACGCCGGGCTCGCC